TAATAAGCACATCCATTACTTAGGAGACTACGTGCAAAGTGTGAGAAATGGCAGCTGAATGAACCACCTGTGCTAAGGCGCAATGAGGTAACTGCATCTGCTTCCTGCTGCCATCTGTAAGTAATTAGTTAAATTAGGCCATGGAGAGTTTCTCAATTACTCTGTTGCATAATATGCATATATATGTAAGTGCATTCTGCAACTGGTGAATCTATCTGCTATGCAGATGGTGCCAAGCAGACTGGTTTACTTTACAGACAAAATGAATCCAAACTCAACAATCCAAGTCTCATTTTATCAAATCTACTTGAAATATCATTCTGAACCTGTCTATAAGCTTAATGGATTTTTTTGGCTGTATTTTTAGGTTTGGGAGTAATGCCATTAACAAAAGGGAATAAATAGCGTTATTTCAACAACAGATGATGCTCTGGCTGAAATGGACCAGTGGTTATTTTTCCATTAATTCCCAAAGCCCATGAGACTTTAACATTTTGTTCAATTTAAGTGCACTTATTAGTCCAGTCTACCATCGTCTCTGTGAGTGAGAGTGTGATGGGAGAGAGATGAAAGGAGGATAGGGTGACTGGAGCAAAGTTCACAGAGCATTTAGGGATACCCATTTTTTTTTCCCATTTTACTACCCTAGAGGCGTTGTTGTCATTTCCACTGAACAAGCCGATGACACAGTGTCAGTTCCAGAGAGAGTGCACCAGACAGTGGGAAATGGCAGCTTTTAGGATGTCCATTTTAGGAATGAAAATACATCCTATGCCGGGGGAAGGGGATCCAGCCTGGCTGGCTCTGACTTTGACCAATACCATCACTGGAAGAGGACAAAATTAAACTGCAGAAGAAAGAACCAACAGAATCTGTAACATATGTAATTTAATCTCAGTGCCATTTATAACATATTGTACAGTAAACAGAGATTTGCATGTTAATAACATAAGATGTTCTTCTGCACTTGATTTTATCAAATATTTTGGAACTACTCTCACCATGCTTTGGATTTAAAGCAATGGGACAACGACTCGTAGCCTTTCAGCAGCCGATACATTATTTATAAGTAGACTAATTAAAACTAAACCTAGCTTGTCCACTTTCCATCCGGCTCATCAAAGTCCACCCCTGAATAACTCCCCTTTGAAGCCATTATGGGGAATATTGGGTAACATTCAGTGGAAATTAAATTGGACATAAGTTGCAATCTGTATGTAATTAAAGAGAGAGAGAGGGGTGGGGCAAAAAAGAGCTGGCTGTCATCCTGTCTCTTGTCAAGCACTAAGATGCAATGGGCATTTTAAAGTAGGAAGAAAAGTAGAGTGTTTTTTTTCTGTTTTATTAGAAGCTTGTGTGGCAGCAAAGGAAAGTCATAGTGAGTACGTGACAGATCCCAGGTGCTTGATCTGCAGCCTAACTGACGGGCACCGACTATAATGTGAAATAAACCAGCTTTATTGCTATTTTAACCAGCTGACAAAAAGCTTTGAAGAGGTGATTACATGCAGGATGGAGCGCTAAGAAGAGGACAGACTCATTCCTTTACTTTTCATTAGCCACCAAATGAGAATCAAGATCAGTGACGGGCGTAGGTTAAACAGCTCTCCTGAGCACCGAAGTGAGCGGGCCTGTCAAGAAAAGAACTGCACAAACTATTTTCACTCATGTAGAGGGCATTATATTAGCACCAAATTTATATAATTAAAAGTTATCTAAAGAGGTGACCATAACAAATACAATCAAAAAGGAGATTTAGCCATGTTCACTAAAGGACTAAATGATTATCGGTTCCAAATTGGCTGGTCTGAGTTTTTCAGAAGCCGATGATTTGCTGGGATTGACCCATTAAACAATCTCTATGATTTGCGAGAATGGTCCAAAAAGAAAAAAGAAAAGAAAAAAAAAGAAAATATCCTGTGAGCAGCATTTTTTTGGTTAGAAATACCGTGTTAATGTCAAAGGTCAAGGAAAGATGGCCAGACTCAAATAACCACTAGTTATAACCAAAGTATGTACAAGAGCATCTCTGAACTCACAACACACTGAACCTTGAAGCAGATGGGCTACAGCAGCAGAAGACCACGTGTCACGGTCCTGGGCCATGTGGGCCCAGTATTCTTAGTTTCTTGTATTTTTGTATTTCGTTCCTTATTTAGGCCATGTTTCCTGAGTTGTCCTGTTGTGTTGTTCCCTAAGTGTTTTCCCTTCGTGACTCTTACCCCCTGTGTGCCCCTCTGTGTATTTTTGAGCCCTCGTCTCTCTTTGTGTTTATTCCATGTTTCCCCTGACCCAGCGTTTCTAGTTCCTTGTGATGTTTGTAATATGGTACTTGTGTGATTTATTCTATGGCTTCTAGTTTTGATCCCTTGCCCTTCATGTTTCTCTGTGTCCCCTCTGTTCTGTGTAATTGTGTGTCTTTGCATGTTTGAGTTTGTTTTCTGTCTCTCTGCATTGTGCATTATGTTCTCATGGTTGGTCTTTTGTTACTCCCTCTAGTCTAGTTTCTTGTGTTCCAAGCTGAGTATTTCCCTCCGCGTATTTTGGTTCTTAGAGTCCTCTGCCTTATGGTTTATGTCTCTGTGTTTCTTAGTTGCTTTCTCCACTGTGTCAAGTTTGCGTCTCTGTATGATACTTCCTGTTTTACTTTGATGGTCCATGTCTTATGTGAATGTGTCCTGCTTTGCTTGTCTCGTCCAGCCTGATTACTCCCAGCTGTGCTCTGCTTCTGTGTCTCATTCCCCTCGTTACCCCTCTGTGTATTTAAGCCCTGTGTTTCTCTGAGTCAGCGTCGCGTCGTCCCTCATGCTGTGTGTGAGTCTCCCCGTGTCTTCTGGTATGTGTTACCATTAGCTCTTCCCAGTTTAGTTTTGCATTGCTTTTGTATCACTGTTATCGTTTGTCACCTGTCAGCAATAAAGCTGCATTTTGAGTTCAGTTCTGCCACACACCGTTACATGACATCACGAGGCTACTGTTTACAAAGGCTCACCAAAATTGGACCACAGAAGATTGGAAAAATGTTGCCTGGTCTGAGGAATCTTAGTTTCTTCTGCAACATTTAGGTGGTGGTATCAGAGTTTGGACATGGAGAACACGAAAGCATGAATCCATCAAACATTGTATGAACAATTCAGATTGGTGGTGGTGGTGACAACTGACCATTAAACCCCACAGCCTAGATGAGTATTGTTGCTGACCATGTCCATCCCTTTATGACCATGGCGTAACCAATCTTCTGAATGCTGCTTCCAGCAGGATAATGTTCCATGTCACAAAGCTCAGTTCTCAAACTGGTTTGCTGTACAGGACAAAGACTTAATTGTACTCAAATAGTCTGTCAGTGTGAATATGAATCAAAAGCTCTCAGGAATGTTTCCAGCACCTTGATGAATCTAAGCCACAAAGCATTACGGCAGTTATGAAAGCAAGGGTGTCCAACCCAAGACCAGCTACAGTAGGTGTACCTAATAAAGTGTTCAGGGAAGGCATGTTTGTCACTTCCCTATAAGAGCTAGCTAAACACAGGTCAATAACTGCCATAATTAAAAATATCCAAACAGCTGGAAAGTTACAATAATTGATTACAATAATTAATTGAGTACACACTAAGCAAGGACTGTGAAATATGCAAAAGCTTTTGTTCTTACTTTCTCAACCTCTGCATCGTGTCTCTGCTGCATCTTCAGTTTTTCCTCCTGATGCTTGGCCTCCAACACTTTGATCTTCATCTCGGTCTGAGAACAAAGAGAACCAAATGCCATATGTAACACTTACAACACGTTTAACACCGTGATTTAACTTTTGTCATCCTACCACCAAATATTATGAGCAAGATATTTTAACCACTAAAATCTGTGTCCCAACTGTTTTACAGACACGACACGGAATAACAGAGCCTGTCTGTCAAAGGTAACATAAATCCGGATGATACAGTTACAGCATCTCCCAAACAAGTGCAGCTGATGATCAAATAAAACCACATTAAACCTTTAAAAAAAATAAGATTTTTCCACACACAGAGAGCTTCAAATGTGCCCAACTGTTTGCGCTGCTTATTTCTGTGTTAGGGCTGGGCTATCATACAGTTCACGGTAATACCGGTGTAATTTTGGGCAACGATAGGAAAATGAAATATCGCCATAGAATATGGGTAAAACGCGCATGCGCAGCGCCTATGTTTACATACGCACATGAGAAGAACGAAAGTGGATTGTTGAATGAAACGGATGAACCAGAATTGGTTTGTAAAAATGCTGCAACTTCAGTGGTGTGGAACTGGTTTGGCTTTCGTCCGTCAGATACACAACAAAGCACTATTTTTGGTAGCGCATGCTAGCGGGCCATCGTTATTACCGTGTTGTTTGGAAAATACGGCACACTTAAAATCAATCCTTCGATTTTTCTGAAAATCGACAGTGCCCCTTATAATACCGTGTGCCTTATGTATGAATTCTGGTTGTGTTTACTGACCTCGAAACGATTTTATGTGGTACACGGCGCTCGAAAATCTGTCAAATGTTTTAGTACGACTTTGCTAAGCTACGAACCCGCACCGCTTGATGGATAGTCGGAGCATTACGGCTATCGTAGGCAGGAGCCTCGCGGAGTGATACGAACTGTGCTTCAACATAATATTACCGTATTGTGTGTGTATAACCTCTTTTTAAGTTTTGTGGATATTATACATGGTTATGCTGAGGATATGTCGGCCAATTTCCACTGGAAATGCCTTTTGGTTAAACTGTCAGCAAGGAATTTGCACTGTTACGTTTTTATATAACTTTAATGCACATAAAAAACAGCTGCTTGTTTAAGTGAAAATACATTGATGGGGTTTTTTGCACTAATAAAGTTGTGGAGTTGTAAAGTATTTTGTCTAGTGTCAATTATATCGTCAGTTATATCGTTATTGCCAATTTTCAAATGTATATCGTGATAAATATTTTAGGTCATATCACCCTGCTCTACTCTGTGTACACGTTTGTTTACAATAAACAAAGTAAAAACCTGTTTGTGTGTAGTTAAGTTAATCATGCAGGGAAAGGCTGCTTTCATTCAAACACTGTTTTCAAAGGATCAAAAGTTCAACGTTGTCACGAGCATGTTGGAACAAATCTCCTGGAGCTAGAGGACGTTCACACACCGTAAAACAAAACCCTAATGATTCGTCACTTTCTGTAATTGACTCAAACAAAAAAGAAGAAAAAGAAAAAAAAAATCTATGTGTTTTTCATCTTCAAAGAGCCATTAATCATCACACAACTACATCTGAAGGAGAGAGACAAAGCTACAAAATGACAGCTTTTTGACAAAACGTGGTTTCTAAATATTTAGTGGCTTAAACTTAAGCTAAGAATTTATTGATTTATAAAGCTGTCTCAGCTTTATAAAGATATAAATGTGCTTTTTATACACTTTCAAAGCTAAGAAAAGAAAACAGAAAAAAAGAAGAAGAGGACACTTTTTGATCCATAGCCTAGTCTTACCAATAAGATGTGAAAGTATGAGCAGATAATACTCTAAGCCTTACAGTATTAAGGAATTTGTACTTACAGCTTTTGACCTGTGCATCTGTGGTCCAAAACACACTGTATCCTACCACTATTTAGCTGCCACTAGTAACAGTGATCATCGCTTTTATGAAAACACTCACTAATAATTACCTCAGAGATGGAGGTTATGTTTTTGGTAGCGTTCGTGTGCGTGTCATTCTGTCTGTAAACAGTATAGCTCAAAAAGCTTTGAATTCATTTGCTGAAGACTTTATAAGGATGTGGATTGGGCCTGTAAATCTATTAAAATTTACCTTACATCCACCAACACCTCCCATTCACATGGATATCAGAACATTACCCAGGTAAGTGACACACCTGGTCCATCCATGTGATATAAAAGGAAATGTCATTGATCAGACCAGGCCACCTTCTTCCGTTGCTCCGTCCAATTTGGATACTGTGGGGTTAGCAGCTATGCAGCCCCACACACAACAAACTAACACATTTCCATCATAACCAGCATTAACCTTTTCAGCAATTTGAGCTATAATAGCTCGTCTGTTCGACTGCACAGCGCAGGAAAGCCCTCGTTCATCACATGTTTCAGTGAGCCTTGGCTGCCCATCACCCCGTCGCTGGTTCACCACTGTTGGACCACTTTTAATAGATACTGACCACTGCAGACCAGGAACACCAAATATAAGCTGCAGTTTTGGAGATGCTCTGACCCAGTTTATTCAGCCATTTAATTTGGCTGTTTCCAACTTGCTCAAATCTTTATTTACACTTGCCTATTTTTCCCAATTTCAGCATCAACTTTGCGGACAAAATGCTCACTTTCTCCCTAATACATCTCACTAGCATGTGCCATGATTAAGAGATAATAAGTCACCTGCCATATGTCATAATGTTATGCCTGACCCGTGTAAACGGGTCCTCCTACCCATTAGAATACACATCAGTTTAATGCTAAAGTAATGTTTTCTCGAATAAAGATTTCTGTTCCCAGGCCTTCACCAGTACCAGCTTGGAGACTGCCAATAAGAATAAACCCACAAAACCAATAAAACATATCAAACCTCTTTGTGTGAGCGTTAAAATTAAACATGTGTAAACATAAACTGGCTGGATAAGTAATGAATTCATTACTCAAACAAACCAGAATTTTCTATAATTAGCTACTTTTGGCTACTCCCTTATTTACAAGGGGTCGCTACAGCAGGTAACTTTGCATGTTTGATTTGGCAGATTTTTACAACCTTCCTGGTGCAACAACCATACAGATTTGTCTCCCTTTCTGGAGACAGGATGACCTTGCAAAGGCTGATGTCAATCTGTCACATGTCATGGAATGATAATGCTATTTTTATTCCACCTTTGGAAAAAGTATTTCTCACATTTTCCTAGTTAGATTGCCGTTAAGTGCCAACAACACACGGAGGCACAAAGAAAGTCTTTGACACAAAGATGACTGACCATTTCCTTTGATGTCCCTACTCATGTTTAGTCACTGTCTGTTCTGGTGTCTTAATCAACCCTAAAGCAGGGTGACAGTGTTCCTCCTTTGAAAGTGCGGCTGTGTGTATGACTATGTCAGCAGTTATAACGTCCCAGGGCTAGATCATGTTTGTTCTAGTCATCAAAAACTATTAAGCAGAAAATTCCCACAACATTACTTGGCACACTCAAACCACATTAGACCTTCTCTCTTAGAGAGAATCAAAGGGAAGTAACTGTGATGTCTGAGTACAGACATGATTTAACTACACAGGTGTTTAAGTGTACACATACAATACAATAAAAACACCAACAACATACTAAACATATAAAAAATTATAAATACATGTCAGCAATTCACTTTACATTGAGAGCCGTGTTAAAAATAAAATTCCAACTAAAATACTTGAATTGCCTTCTAGACGATTCTCCTCATTATTGTATTTCAGCTACACTTAGACACTGTATCCTTGACAAAGCTCTGTTAAGTATTCTGCTTCTTTTTTCCTTGATTTACTGCCATTTCTTGTGCAATTGAGGGGACCACAGGAGACGTGTCAGAGAAGAAAGGAAAAGGCAAAAGAAAAGGAGGGGGTAAGAAAAGACAGAGGGAGAGATGGGGAGAGAGGTAGCAGTGATTGAAAAGCAAAGGAGTTAGTAGAGACCTGATTCTGCCCTCCCCCCGTCCCCTCTACTCCCCAAAAAAAGAACGTGTGGGGGTGTCACTTTCTCATCCTCTGTTCAAATGCTCTTTGGAGAAAGTTTGCCAAACTAGATCAGGGGTGTCTGAAACTTGTTTATAAAAGGCGTCGGTGAAGGAAGGAGGAGGAGGAATGTCGTACACCTAAGGCTTTTGAGACAGCTTCAATCAGCCCAACTGGGTGGTACAGCTTTTTCCCTTTTCTCTTCTTCAGAGTTGTAGCGAGCGCTGTAAGATGCCATGTTTTTTGACACTTCGCTCTTGAAAGGATGAGAGGCTAGAGAAAGAGAGAGAGAGACGGAGGAAAGAAAGCGAGGACGGGTACGAGAAAGGGAAGGAGGTTGCTTTTTCTGCTCTCGAAACCATCGCGGGGTCAGGGCCTTTTCCCTCGGGGGGGACGTGTTCACAAATCGGCTGCTAACTGTTTAGGCTCCACAAAGCAAGGTTGCATTTGTGCATTTCCTTCATCGCGCTTGAGATGTACAATGTCCCGGTGCGTCTTTCATCCTCAGTAAACACAGATGCTCTAGGATAGTCGGTATACAGCGCTGCACTATCTGCTCAGGAGCAGCTAGACGCCATTTCCACAGTCTGACATAAAGTAGTCTGTCCAGATTGTACAGGCCGGATAAAAACTTTGGCTAAAATTCGACTCTGACATGTGGGGAAATAAATAAATAAATAAACCGCAGCTCTGAATACAGAGTAAGTAAACACACTACTTAAAAATTTCTAACATGAAAACATCAAATACGCAAACTCAAAAGCTGAGCAGTAACTTCATCATCTTGGAACACTGCAGATCCTTTATATCTTCTAGCCTGAAGCGCCATACTGAACTAGTCCCTTTAAAAAATACTAAGACTCAATAGGTTACTCTTTTTTTTTTTAGCTTTGAAAAGCGATCAGATAAGGCAGGCTATGGCCCTCTAAGTCACAGGCTGTGAGCTCAAGCTCCATCCTAAGGGTCTTAGAATAGAGAGACTGCATCATTATGGCATCAGAAACCAAAGCATACTGATCTTCAGTCAGGGAATTGTGACCATTAGAATGGTACTGCTTGACACTAACACACTGCCAATCCCTCAGGTCAGGTACCAAGGGGGGGGGGGGGTAGTTTGTAGATGGCATGAACGCACAAACTGCAGAAGAAAGTCTGGGTATTTTAGTCAGTCTGTCAGTATGTTCCATAATTACAAGACTTAGGCCTATGTATAGCGTAACCTGACTCATCAGTCGACATTTAATTGAATTTCCAAATAAAGGCCCAGCCCTCTTAATGCTAAGCACTGCTAGAGCGCGCTGTAGGATTAGCAGGACTTTAGCAGGACATTTTCCACATTTTCCCTTGTAAGTGTGCACATATGTATAAGCTAAGTTACTTAAAGCAATGGCAGCTTGCAGGGAAGTTTCTCAGCTGCCACTCATTGTTCCACAAGGGAAAAAAAAACAGTCTGCATTTTTAGTAATGCAGTCAGTAGATTAGCAGGAGGATGAGCTTGGTGTGAAAGCTGAGATGTTCGTTAAGCTGCCACCAGCTTAATGGCATGTGGCGTGTATAACACTTTAAACCTGGGTAAATTTCCAACTATGCTTTAGGGATTACGGGGAAGTGATGTCACTGTGATTTCCCAGACCTAACCCAGACAGCCACGGAATAGCAGAGCCGGACAAGATTACGAGAAAAGTTTCTGCATGCCGGCAAAGTCAAAGGGCAACATGGGTTGACTACGAAGAAGGTGCTTTACCCGTACAAACCTCGCAGTCTGTAGATTCAATGTAACAGCTCATGTTTGACTCTTACCTTTTGCTGTAAGTCTGTGTTTTTTTCAGCATTTTAAATACCTCACTACAGTGGCCACAGACTGGTCCAAAACACAAGCTGCAGCTTAATACTGTGCCTGAATAAGGAACTGCTCATGGTATGTTCCATTTTTTAAATAAATAGTACAAACAGCACTCCCATCATCGGGTAACTGACTGACTTTGAAATTCACCTATGTGGTACTTTATGCTACGGTCACACTAGGCCAAATAGTGGCTAGATTCTGCAACACGATCATAAACGACTGCGACTGTGCGCCTTTGAAACAGATGAAATGGACTCGGACCGGGTCCGCTAACAACTCACAGTTACAGCTGCTGTCTTCTGAGTTACTTTGGTGCATCAAGACAGTGATACAACAGCAATAAGACAGATTCAGTCTGCTATCAGTTTGCGACTCGATGGGGCCAAGTTGGAAGTGACACGTGTAACTGTGATAATGTGGCGGTTAACTGTGATACATTGGTGAAAATTGCAAATCTTTTATTGTCTACATACACAAAACTTTGCACTTTGTTTACAATCAGATTCCAGCCAGAACCCCACAGATCTAAAACAGAAATTCCTCTACAAATATCAAAGTATCCAGAGAAGGACACGTATGAGTGCAACAAATTACAAATTGCTGGTACCAAATGCATTTGTTGTCCATCCGTAATGTAGTAAGCCTAAATCACATACGCTTATATTTAACAATCTAGATGCACTTTTCTTAGAAAACCATAGTCTCAATACAAGTTGAGACTAAGTGCAATGGATTTCCTGGACTTTTAGTATTTCCCACATTGCTAGCATGTGACCTCGGTAAACGGCCGGTGCCGTTTACCATGGCTTTCTTCCTAAAAATCCATGCTCATATTCAAGGCCGTTCACATATGAACTAAATCTCACAGCTCACACCAGTGTCAGACTCGTAATATACTGTGCGCACCAAAAACACTAAGCATATGCTCAAATACCACTTTCACAAACATCAAAAACACTGAATGTCATAAACATTACACTACACAGTTTATTGACGGACAATTATGTCGCACTGCACTAGATCACACAGGTGTATCTAATAAAACGGTAACTCACTGCATTAAATATGTTCTGCTGAGGTAAATTTATATTCCCACCACACACGGCTGTATGGAGCCAGTGAGCTAGTCTGAGGTGGGATCAAACAGCATAGGACGTGGCTTTAATGTTTTCATAATGGAGTTGCCTCATTCAGTCAGTGCACAGAAACATTGCCTGACTGGTAAAAGAAGATTTACATCCACCGATCACAAACAGATCCTTGTCATGAGAGACCAACAAACCAGACCATTCTTGTCCAAAATGTCCTGTATGTTTTTCCAGCCAGTGCTTACTGACTGGCTGCAGGTATGAAAAGCCATAGCTATTACAGACAAGTCATGCTCAGTTTTATATTTAACAGTGCATTAAAAGGTGGATGGTGGGAGGAATGTGTGGGGGTTCGGGGAAGTTTGGGAGGAGCACACGGGACTTCAAAGCATGTTTTCAGAATAGGATTTTCAGCTTAAATCCACATAAGGGAAAAAAGTGTCATCACTGGGAACTTGCATTATATTTGTCTTTTTAAGAGGCCTTGGCTATTTCAACAGTACAAACAGTATGTGTGTGTGTGTGCGTGTGTGTGTGTGTGTGTGTGTGTGTGTGTGTGTGTGTGTGTGTGCGCACGTGGCTGTGGGGGCGTTTAATGTCATAAAGCAACAAGAGAGCTTGTCCAGCAGAGTGTCTCTGACTGTGTTAAATTCTATGCTGTAAGCAATGTCTGTGTCAAGCGGTGGCTTCATGTTAACTCGCTCACTAGCTGGTGAAATAGTTTGCTGAAAAGTTCAACAATAATAACATACATTATATGAAAGCTGTCAGCCATTAGCTTTACAAGTCAGTGCGCCCCAGGGTGGCTGTGGCTACAATGTAGCTTGCCATCACCAGTGAGTGAATGGGTGTGTGAATGGGTGGATGACTGAACGTGTAAAGCGCTATACAATACAGGCCATTCACCACTGTTGTGGCTACTTAATGTATATGTACACTCACTGGCCACTTCATTAGGTGCACGTTGCAAGTACCAGCTTGGCTTAATGGCTTAGAATCAAAATATCTGCTGGAAACATTCCTCAGAGATTTTGGTCCTTATTGTCATGACAGATTTGTTGGCTGCACATCCATGATGTGAATTTCCCATTCCACCACATCCCAAAGGTGCTGTGTTGGATAGAGATCTGGTTATTGTGGAGGTCATTTGAGTACAGTGAACTCACTGTTATGTTCAAGAAACGGAATTTGAAATGATTTGAGCTTTGGGATATGACAGAAGAGGGGCACACTGTGGTCATAAAAGGATGGACATGGGTAGCAACAATAATCAGGTAGGCTGTAGTGTTTAACAATACTAACTTGGTGCTAAGGAGCTCAAAGTGTGCCAAGAAAATATCCCCCTTATCAATACAACACCACCAGCCTGAATTGTCGATACAAGGCAGGATGCTTACATGCTGTTTACAGCAGATTCTGTCCCGTCCCTTTGAATGTCTCCTTCCCTGGTTGTAACGAGTGGTTATTTGATTTACTGTCTCTTAAACCCTAGAGACCGTTGTTTGGGAAAAATCCCAGTAGATCAGCAGTTTCTGAAATACTCACACCAGCCCATCTGCCACTAACAACCATGACGCATTCACTGAAATTACCTTTCTTTCCCATTCTGATGCTCGGTTTGAACATTAGCAGGTCATCTTGACCATGTTTCCATCCCTAAACTGATTGAACTGATGGACCAAACCAAGTGGCCAGTGACTGCATAAAGTATGTATATTCTCAGTTAGTGGCAAATGTCTCTCATTCTGGTTCATACCTCTTTGCTCTGTAACAGTTGTGCACCCTGATCACTGGCCAAGTTACTCTTCCCCCCAAAGCTTGACTTGAAAATCTAAGGAGATATAGTAAAGAGAGATGTGGGAATGAGAAGACTCAGGAAATCAAAGACAATTTTCTTCACGTAACAATAAATAAAGTACAAGAGACCCCCTGACAACTTACTGGTGACAAGGGAACGGGCTCCTCTCGCAAATACCTTGGCTTCTCAATCTGAAAGAGTAAACAGAAAAACTTTAGACCTCTCTTTGGCTCCTTCCTCTCTTAACAAAGCCTTACCACTACCTCCACCCTAAGTCTGCCATAAACAATGTGGGGAGCACATCAAAAGCCCAGTGCTATGGCTGAAGCCTCTTCCGTCAACTTGTGTCTGTTTAGAAAGGCAGAATGCGTCGGGACACTTCAAGGCTTTGTGTGTGTGGCGAGCTCTGTTTCCGCTCTTGGCCTCTTTCTGCTGTCCCTTTTGTCAACACTCAGGACCGCTAATCTCTAAGCTATCCCTGGTCCATTTACTGTCACGCTGAGACAAATGTGTACACATCCCTGCCAAAACACTGACACAGCGTATTCTTTGATTACAATATGAAACACAGTAGACTGAAAAAGAGCGAGCAGCTAAACCACCTGAAAGTAAGCGGGTCACGGTCCATGTCTCTCTGCGGTGTTACATCAATACACCTCACTAACTGTGACACAAACTGCAAAAATATCTGCTGCTTGACAGCCTGCTGTTTTTGCTTGCACTATTTGACATTTGTTTATGACCCCATTACTTTCTTGTGAACTCGCACTATCATACAGCGTTTCGCTCTGATGCACTGGGGCTGTCTGTAGGGGCTGCCAACTAGCAGCAAGATCACGGCTTTTCAAAGCAGCAGAGCCGACTCTAGAGATGACAGCAATGACGCCCAGTAAACAGTTCTGTTGCTAATCTCTTCAACATAGCAATGAAGGAGGAGAACAAGGAGGAAGAGAAGGAAGAGGAGGGAAGTGTGGGACTCATTCGATGTAAAAAAAAAAAAGGGGGGGGGGGGGGGATTTAATGCCGTAAGGTGGCACAGCCCACGCAAAGCTAATCCAGAATGAATGGGAAAAAACAGGACCTGAAAAAAACTCAGAGTTTGGGCCTCAAACGTTTAGAGTTACAGTATGAGGATAAAGACAAAATCTTTGCTTTAGGGTGAGTAACTGTGGCTCCCTGCTAAGTCTACACGCAGGTAAAAACAGGTCATACATTTCACTGCAAGTCCTCAACAAAAGGAGACATCCGAGTTAGACCGCTCGACATAACCAGCGCTATAAAAAAAATAAATTAAAAAAATAACCAGCGCTGCGGTGGTGGGTGCAATGATGTGTGATGAATTGCTACTTAAGTCTGGTGAAGGCCAGAAAACAAATTCACATTCGCCAAGTGATGAATCAATCGATAGTCTTCTAAACTAGTGCCCAGACTGAAAACAAGAATGGGATTTTCTTTTTATATCTACAGACAGCCAGTCATCACATTTGATTGAGCACGGCCCACAGGGCGAGGAAGACATGCAGACTAAATGCTGTGGTGTAATGCTGGCATGGTGCAATGCTAAACTTGGACTCCGTGCACATGTATGCCTGTGCACATACTCTTGCCCTGCATGCCTGCCCACACACACACACTCCTCTAAGCATATGTTTGTCCAGCCTTGCAGCTGGCACGGCGTCCTGTGTCATTGAATCCTGACGTGGATGGATGGATGGACGCACAAGAGGAACAACACTCCAAATCGCAAGGGATGGCTCTCCAGCCAAAAGAGAGGCCATGATTGATAGCTTCCTAGTTTTGGACTGGTGTTAAGCAAGTCGTCGGCACAGCCCTTTTAACCACAGACAGCCAATGGTAGGGGCAACAACTGAACAACTGTATTACATGTGACACAAGTTTAAAAAACTTCTGCCTACAGGTAGTCCTGTGCATATTGCACCCATCTCTAAGGTAGCAAAACTCCCATTTTACATAAAACTAGCTGCTCTAACACACAAACCACATGAAAGTTAAAAACAGATGGAGGTCCAGCTGACTCAGGTTTTGTGTCCAGCTTTCCAAGGCTGAAGCAATTTGTTATACACTGTCCGGTTACCATGTTACCAATGCTGACTGCACTCACTTTATTACATCAGGGTGAAATGAACAACAAATCGATATGGACTTCTTCAGAACATCTAAAGAGACGCTAAAGATGTTCCAGATAAAATGATGCTCAGCTGTGCTGAAATTTCATAGGCGTCGGGCACTTTGAGGCAGCGCATCTATAAAAACTTCTATAAACTTGAGCAGGGCTGTGTGTATTTGTGTGTGAAGGAACATCTGTTGATTTGAAAGATGCAGGTTAGGGGGAGGGTTGCCAAGCAATGCCTCTTATCAGCGTTTCAACACAGAGGAAAGCAGGCTTTCCTCTGTGTTGAGGCATCCATCAGCGGCTTCACGTCGGCTGATGGATGCCTCAGATTACCCCTGTACCGAAAGAGAGAGGGAGAATAAAGGGGAGGTAGTCACAGACAGACGGAGAGGACAATGGATTGGAGAAACGTGCAAAAAGTCGGAAAACAGAAAGGGGAGATTTTGCCAAAATATTAGTGGAGAAAGGAGAAAGTCGAAGGTAACAAGCATGTTAAAGAAAACAAAACAAAAAAACAGAAGAAGAAAAAAAAGACAGTCGAAGGGTCATGCAGGTGAGGAGATAGGAACATATGAGGGCAGGGGGCATATCAAGCCCAGGCCTGATGCACTCAGATAGAGAAGATAAGAATGATTCACACATCTTCAATTTCTCAGTTTACACAACCTTTCTCTCGCTCCCCGTCCTACCCTGACATCCTACAATAGCGCCAAACTGCCTAAAGGAAGTGTTTTCAAGAGAACACAGGTGAAAGGCCTCTCAACCCTTTGTTCGAACGGTGCTGTTAACTCTGCGTCACTGCACTACTGATGCGGATGTACTTAGGTGCTCAGACTCACTGCTGTCACTGTGGCGAGCAACAGCACGTTTGACAGCTGCATGTAACAAAGAAGCTCATGGCATGCCCCTGGACTCACCCCCAGGTTCCAGCTGTTGAGACGAGCCTCCAGGTCACTGTCATCGGGAGATATATGGTTTGGCTCCCCATCCACCTGAGGAGGGGAGGGGGACAAGGGTGGGATAAAAAAGAAGGGTATCAACAGCAGGAATAAAATGGAAGTTAAGATGGTTGATATGTTTTCTGACAGCGCTCTGATTGGCAGTTTGGCCAGAGGAACAGGCGGTGATGGAGGTTATCACTGCCTGCTGACACAATGTAATTTCTCTCTTGGCAACAACAAAAGGGCTCTTTAAAAGCTTACAGATACACAGTGCACCCACATGTGTTTAACTAACAACCCTCTACTCCCTTGTTATCTCCATTTCTCCACCCTTTGCTCCCTCGCTCTCCTCCCTCTCACATACAGCGCTCCAGATGTTTGGCAGTTCCACATCATTTCCGTCACACAGTAAATTCCGCAAGAGGGGCATATGTGCAGCTCGGCTGCCTGTCATTCTTGTTTTTCTCCAGCCTTTTGTTTTACGACGGGGCGCCGGATTTATTTTATGCAGGATAAGTTGAATGCTTGCAGGGGCTTTTGTTGATACAAGATCAGTTTACTCTAGTCGAGGTTGGGCAGCAAGGTTGAAATGGGGGAAATATCTAATAAAAGTTGAGAGAGTGATAGGGAAAGGAGATATGTTGTTGAATTTGATTAAGATCTCGTGGAGTGTGGACCTTGGGTGTACCTCAGCAGAACTGCACCGATGCAAAGAAATCGCAGAATGGAATAGCTTGGGATTAAATGCCCTTTCTGATTAAAAAGGCATTAAGGTTCCAGAGCCTCGCCCTCAAACAAACATTTTGATATCTAGGAATGCTGGGTATGCAGGCCACCGGCTGTTCAAAACAGCGTGCTACATTCTCAGAATTGCACCATAAATTCAAAGCATTACTTTTAAATACAGTACTGTGCAAACATCTTGAGGCACCACTCATTTTTTTAATATTTTGATTCCTAGAGGTCAGACTTTCATGTCATTTTTGGTAGTGGTCTTGAGCAATAGTTCTCCAGGCTTTTTAAAGGCCTTTCAAAGTTCTTCTTTGGACATTGGCTTCTTTTTCATTAATTTTCATTCCAGTTATACCTGACCATTTTCACAGCAGTGTTTTTATTTGTTTGTTAAGCCACTTAACTGGCCTATGAATCATTAACCAAAAAAAGTAGCTAACTTAATAGAAGAACCAGTGTTATGTCTGCACATGAAGACATGAAAAGAACCGATTTTTAAACTGTAACTTTGGCCTCTTTATTGACAGTCTGATGTAAACATCACAATTTTTTTCCTATTTCTTTATTAGAATATATGAAAAATGGAAAGATAACATAAGTATAAAATAGTATTTTTGCACAAACAAGATGATTCCCGCAGATTCCCACACTATTAGCTGAAAATGTGGCATATCTCAGCATGGTGTGCAGTCCATCCATCCGTTGTCTTCCGCTCATCCTTTTCAAGGTCGCGGGGAGGCTGGAGCCTATCCCAGCTACCTGGGCAGGGTACACCCCGGATAGGTCACCTGTCTGTCACAGGGCTAACAAATAGAAACAAACAACCATCCCACCCACATTCACATCTATGGGCAATTTAGAATGAACCTAACCTCACTAACCCACGTAAACATAGGCAGAAAATGCAAACTCCATACATAAAAGACCCAGCCAGTTGGTGGAATCCAACTCAGGACCTTCTTGCTGTGAGGCTGACTGACATTGGCTTAATTTCTCAGTACGACAATGGTTCCAAACAACTGTCAGTGTGTGAAAGCATATATAGGTCACTATCAGTCATGGATTCGCCTCCACCAGAGCTCAGACCGTGTGGGATGATTTTGACAGAAAACAGAGCAAACGTCCAAATAGGAGCTTTGAATGTCCTTCAAGAAACCTGGAGAACTATTCCTGAACACTACTTAAGGAAATTATAAGAAAGCTTTCCTAAGAGAGTTCAGGGTGTGTTGAAGAATAAAGGTGGTCATATCAAGTATTGGCTTTAAACCTCCTTTACAAGCAGTGTTTTGGTTTATATCCTTATATAATTCCATGTATTCTTTCTACAAAAATAAATCACTGCACCTATTTCCCACTTTATAAGGAAATGAAGGGTAGCTCAAGACTATCAATAAACAGGACACAATATTGACAATGTCTCTCAGTGCAATGTGTTTTGCATCTCCTAGTTTTCACACACCTTGGAGGGAGGAGAGAAAAAAAAAGCACACGGATATACCCTAGTGGGAGGTTTCTAACATGTAAATAATGGTTCACAATCATGGATCATAACAAATGCAATAACAGCGGACAGCACCACAAACTGCAACCTGATAAAGAGGTGAAGGAACACCTTTTTTTAAAAAACTATATTACAATCATAAAGAAGAAGTTGTAAAGCTGTTTTAAGCTGCACACATTATGTGTGTCAGCTGTGAAGACATTATCGTCATTTTTGCGAAACAGAAACTTGCGGGCACAGGGATTTTCCTCCAACTTCATGGGGAAATGAGTTTAGGAATTCCCAAATTGGTCAACATTAAAGAAGAAAGCAAAACGTTGGGTCTGCTGTTTGTGTTGGCAACAGCCTTTGCCAGAGAGCACATGGATGACAGCCTTAATATTTCATGTCTCATCAACGCTACCTCGCAGGGACCTATAAATCTAATTGCTGAATCGTAACACAAACATGCCGGGGAAGTCCAGAGGTGCGATTAGAAATTCTGAAGAATAGCGATGAACTAACCATTCTTGTAACTTGTCTGGGTGATTGTCTCAGTGGACTGGAAGACACGGGTCGTGATGCTGCCCTATCCTCATATGGCCTTCTCCTGGAAGAAAAAAATTGAGAGCCAAACACAAATGTGAAAGGTTAACCTACAATGTGTGTGTGCATATCTCTGGAGTCTGCTCAAATCGCTCTTTGCATATGAATGTGCTTGCATAGGCAGCCTGCCTTGCCATTTGCACAGATCAACATCTGGCACTGGCTGCATGGTTTGTGGCCTGCACTTCATCCCATCTGAACAATAAATGTCTCTGCTACACATCAGTCTGTTTCCACGCACAGCCCACGGGGCACCAGTCTATGACATGTACAATTGCTTTATAATCGCATATCTCAATTGATGCCTCACATTGCATCCGTCATGGTTTAAACAAGCAGCCTGATGTGGAAAAAAGCTTATATCCACTGACACACATGCAAACAAGTACGCACACACATACATACTCCTCATTCTCACTATTGCCTCTCTCCCACACGCGCGCACACACATCTGCATAACTGAGCTAACAATCTCATTAAGCACTGGCGCACACAAGACACTTAAAGCCCACTGATGCTAATTAAATGAAGATGTTAGAGAAAGCAGGGAGATGTAGGACAACAGTGAAGAATAAAAGAAAAAAGAAAAGCAGCTATCATCTTATAAAGACATCCCATTTCATTGTAGAGGGCACTGTTTCACACTCTCAATGTGGAGCCTCTGGGCATCCTATCACTGCTGGGGTTTTTTAGCATTCCTGGTATTCTAAACCTCATTTCTCATGTCATTTACAATGGGGCAAAAAAGTATTTAGTCAGCCACCGATTGTGCAAGTTCCCCCACTTAAAATGATGACAGAGGTCAGTAATTTGCACCAGAGGTACACTTCAACTG